GGGGGGGGGGGGGGGGGGGAGGGAGAAGGCGAGATAGGCGGGTGCGAAAGAGAGTTTTCTTCAGTTTTAGATTTAGCACACTGGTGCTTGTGCCTGCCCCACCCTCCCTCTCCCCGTATCTCGTGCCTGCCCCTCCTTCCTTTGAGTTCGCGTATAAGTCAAATTTTTGTAATAGTTTCTGTTCCCTGTTAATTTCTCCCACACTTTTCTCCAATATCATTCAAATGGCAGCGCTGTTATAAATTTAATTTGTTTTGAAATATTCACTGATTGACGATACTAGTTTTCCTGATTTTTATTATTACTGCTCATACGCTCAGCTGATGCCTTTATTGATAATTTATTTTACACATGGTTCTTCCTAATTAACAATTCGAACGAATGCTGGGAAAACCTCTACTTGGACCGTCCAATTTTGATTCGGCCTTCTATGGCTCGCCGTTCTATTCATCCTTGATTCTCAGTTGTTTTTTTGTAATTGTTTTTTTCCCCGATTTTTGTTTTTCCGCACTGACATAAATTGAAAGGAATTGTTTTGTAGACTCAGTGGAAACTGCCCAATTGCTTTGTACCCACTTTTTAATAAACATGCAGTTTTTTTTTTTTTTTCGATTCATGTAACAGCAATGTAGCATCTCTCCACATGCATGCATTGCCCCTATTTTTAAAAAATGGTTTTTGTTTTTTTTTAAAAAAAATTTTGTTGACAAATAATAAAGGCATCTGAGTGATGTATATATTGCCTTGAAAAATTCGTCATTACGACCTCATGAGTTTATATTTCAGAAAAGCCCTGAATTTTCAGTTTACGCGCATCGAATTGAATTGTTCTCGCCTCTTCAATAGCATTGTTTTAAAAGCAGTGATGTACGGATGCAAAACGTGGTCACTAACTAACTCTGGCTGTGTAACGGGAAAAAAACATTGAGCAAAGAATGCTTGGAGCATTTTTTTAAGACCACATAAACAATCAGACTCTCCGTCAACACGATCTGCTTTTCCATGCACCGATCATGTAGTTATGACCATGCTTTGCGCATCTCTTCAAGACTACATAATCAGACTCTCCGTCAGATGAACTACTTTTTTATTTATCGATCATGTAGTTATGAGCATCGGGGGGAAGGGGGAGGGGGGCAAGTAATTCCACCGATTTGAGAATAGTGCTGGCTTCAATGACGACAGATTTGCACTGAGTTAGTAGTGCGCGAGAAAGTAAACAGTAGCTCGAGAGGCCTCCGAAGAGATGACCCATATATATGTCAAAAAGAGACTAAATACTAATTGGGCGCATGCAAATTGGGCCAAAAAAATTTGGCTGTTGGTGAATTTTAATAATTTGGATATTCATAAATTTGATTGGGTAGTAGTAGTGTTTGATAAAACAAATTATTCTCGTCGGGATCAGTGCTTTGCACTTCTGCGGTATATCTCTCCGGACAAAAATCGTGGGTTTATAATAAAAACAATTTTCTGGCTATGTTCTACGGTTTTAAAGCAGTTGAGATGTGGGTAGCAGCAAGCAGACTTATCGTAATTGTAGTGTTTTATAACAGTGTATTTCCAGATTGATTTGCAATTTGTGTACAGTTTATGATAGCTCAGGAGGCCCGAGCCAGTGGTGCATCATCGCTGAAAATTTTTCCAGCCGATATCAGCGGTATATTGCTAGCCGAAAGCCGCGATGAGCAGCAAATCGATCAATTAACATCAGAAATTTCGTTGATTGTTAAAGTAACCTTTTTCAGTTTTATTGCATTTTTAGTACTAGAAAATACACATAAATTTCTAGATCATTTACTACTCACTACTTGAAGAGTTCCTGCCACACAAGGGTAAGGGTTAAATAAAGGAATCCAGATTGTTGCCAAAATGAATTTTGCATGGACAAGTTTTTTTTCAGGGCTTATTTGGTACGCATTTTTGGGTCTCATATTGGTCCTACTATCCGATTTTAGCAAAAACTCTATATTATGCATTTACAAGTTTATCAGGTAAAAAAATTTATGGAATTTTTATAAATTCTTTAATACATAATTGCTCTGCATGGGTCATTTTAATTAAAGTCTTATTCGAACAGCATTAAAAAAAAAAGATAGCCATGTCGCTGTAGAAGGATTGAAAGAAATGAAGAGGAAAGAAAGCCTTTAAAGCCAACGCATTGTAAAGAAGAAGCTACAGTTATCAATAAAGCGAACAAACACATATGAGTCTATGTAAACGTAGGCGGATCCAGGAGATGGACGAGGGCGGTGGGTCTTTTACCTGAGAGGCACAGGCACCAGTGCTGCAAAAGCTCGGGTCTAAAGTTAAAATTGGATAGGCAAGGTTGAGCATGGGCAAGGGGTCATTACCCTAAAATTTCAGCCTCCTAGACTCCGTTGTTTCCTGAGATATTAATTTACCCATAAAAAACTTTCGCGGAGCCGTACGTGTTATCCGCGAGTACGGGAAGGCTGAATTTAAATTTGCCGCGTCACCCTTTGGCGGGGAACACTATACCAA